GGGGGGGGGCGAGAAAGGAGTGAAGAAGCGACACTCGGTTTTCTTGCTGCTGAGATGGACAAGAAAAGGACCCACATGCGATGAATGAGGGAAGCTGAGAGCGGCGGGGAGGCCAAAAGGAGCATGAAGGGTGGCACGGAGAGGCGTGCGCAAAAGGAAAGGAGGGATGCCATTGAGCGGTGTGTGTAGGTATGTGTCTGGGCGTCTGTGTGTGGTGTGTGCTCGTTTGCGACCCAGAGCGTGTAGGAAGCAAAGACGAATGGGGTAATAGGGCGTGTGCGTTTGGGTTCGCCACGCCCGGTGAAAAGGGCTGGTGAAGGAATACGAAGAGGAAGAAAAGAAAATGTAACAGAGCAGAAACGAAATGGAAAGGGCGATTTCCACGCATAAGTGAGTTGGCCACTTGGTAAGACATGAGGTGGACGTAGCTTGGAAAATATGCATGTGGGTCTGTGCATTGGGTGCGCCTTGCACCACTCACGGGGGAACCCGGCTTCTTCCTTATTCGCCCCCACGCCCACTGCAGCTGGCTGAGTGCGCTGGTTTCTTGGGCGGTATGCCACAGTACAGCGACTGCCGCACACGCATGCATAGAGAAGAATGAGGATAGTACTGGGCGCCTTTTATTTTTCAGTCATTTTCATTCCTTCTCCCCACCCCTTTTCTCTTTTTCTCTCTCTCTTTCTCTCTCTGTTGCAAAGGTGGCTGCTGCTGCTGCAGCTATTAGCCAATAGAGGAGTGGGCGTGCACGTATGCCGGAAATGGCGGATTCACCGGGCAATGCGAAGCCTCACGTCAGCAGCAGCGCGGTGGGTGACGGAGCAGACGCCGCGCAGAACGAGGCGTACGCCCTGTCGCTCCTCCTCAATAAAGTCGTTGAGAAGATGAACGCAACGCGGCGTGAATGCCGCGCAGAGCGGGAGGAGCTGATCAATAGCGTTGAATCACAGCTGCAGGACATGCGAACAGAGACGATGACCACGCGAAGTGGACAACAGCAATTGCAGCGTGAGGTGCGTGCGGTGCAGGAGAAGCTGCAAAACGCCGTCTTTGAGTGTGCTGCGCAGATTCAGAGCAGCAGCGACCGTCTGGGCGTGACTGCGCTCGCGAAGGCGTCGCACAAGTTGCACCGCGACACGCAGCAGGCGGTGAGTGAGGTGGAACTGCTGAAGGCCGCCGTCTTCTACGACCGCCTCAGGCGTGAGGAGCGTCAGAAGGCTGACGACGCTGAGGACGAGGAGCTGGAGGCGCGGCTACAGCAGGCGGAGCTCGCTAATGAGGAGCTGCGCCGCACTGCAGTGCGCCTGCGTTCGCAGAACCAGCAGCTCGTGGCAGTGCTGCAGGGCGTTGTGGGCTCGCTGGAGAAGTGGAAGCCGCAGGTGACGCAGCAGCAGCTGCAGCTGAGGCAGACGCTGGAGGGGTTTGCCCGCGTGCAGGCGGAGCACATCCACATCGTCGGCACCGTGGAGTCCCTCGTACACTCGGTGGAGCAATACAAGGCGAAAAACGACGAATGTCTACACAAGCTCGAAAAGACCGTTGCGGAGTTCGAACAGCAGCAGGAGCGGTGGCAAAACAAGCGCTGTTATAACGGTGCCATGACGAACAGCAACGCAGTGTGGCGTCACCAAAACCAAAAACAACAGCAGCAGTGCCAACATCATGCCCCGGAGGCATTGCATGAGGCTACAGGTCGTCCGCTGCGACAGCGACTGGAGCATTTCTACAGCATCTACAATGCCGAGAAGATTCCCTCCGTGGATGCTATTATCGATGAGTATGTGGGCGCTGAGGAAGAACTAATGGCGGCGCTTGAGGTGCACTACGGCGCGTTCGGATTTTTCTCATACAATTAGAAGTGGAAGCAATACCCTCTCGGTGTGTATACATGCATGCATACAGGTATGGCTATATATATANTGTGTGTGTGTGTGTGGTGCGTGATGCCCGCTTTTGCATTCTGTTTTCATCCCAAAGAATAAGATGGACTGAGAACCAAATTCATATGGCTGACCCATTCGGTCACTCAACTGCTTTCTTGTTTCTGCTTCTTTGCTGCCCCTGGTGTGTTAGGCTACCCTTCTCCTACCTTTTACTGCGCCAGTCTTGTTGTGTTGTTGCTGTGCGGGATGGCCGATGAGAAATTGCCGCGCGTGATTGTCTTCGACCTTGACGGCACGCTGTGGGCGCCGGAGATGTACCAGCTGTGGGGCGGCGGAGGCAGCCCGTTCCGCGCGGATGCAAAGGACCCGAGCGCCGCCTTCGACAAGGCTGGCACGAAGGTGCGTCTCATTGGTGNCCGTTCCGCGCGGATGCAAAGGACCCGAGCGCCGCCTTCGACAAGGCTGGCACGAAGGTGCGTCTCATTGGTGAGACGCGGCAGCTGCTGCAGAAACTCTACACCGACCCCAAGTGGAGCGGCACGTCATTGGCGGTGTCCTCCACTTGCGATGAGCCGCGCTGGGCTATGGAGCTTATGCGGCTGTTTCAGTTCACTGACGCTGCAGGGAATCGCGTGCCGATGCTCTCGCTCTTCGGGGACCTTGTGGAGATATATTCGGCCAACAAGGCGAGCCATCATCGCACTATTCTGAAGAAGCTGCAGAAGAACGACCCTGACATCAAGGCGGACTTCTCACAGTTTATCTTCTTCGACAACCAAACGAACAATGTCCAGAATGTCTCCAGCATTGGCGTAACGAGTGTGTACTGCCCCAACGGCATGGTCTCTGGGGTATTTGAGCGCGGAATAAAGGAGTGGCAGGCGCAGCACAAGAACCATAACCTGTGAGGTCTGTGGTGCTTGGCAAGAGAAGAAAAAAAAAAGGTATCCCCGCCCTTTTCAGATCCGCATCTACTGATTAACGACGCTGCTACGACTACTACTGCTGCTGCTGCTGCTGCTGATTAAATTTTCTATCCTGCCTTTGTCGTTGTGATGTTTGCACACACACACACACGCGCTGTGGCACAGGTACACACACTCTCTCTTTCCTTTACTTGACGTGCCCACCTCAGTAGAAGAAGTGGGGGACTGAATAAACACAAGGGCGGCGGCGGTGGTGGCGGTGGCAGTAGGCAGGGAAGCCAAGAATAGCAACACCTGAGAAGCCTAACGCCATTGGGAAGGCGCAATCAAGCAACACCACACCGTGCCATTTTTGTTTTGGCTACCAAGGAAATGGGAAAGTTCCTCTTGTGCGTGGAGAGCAACGTGCGCGAGGTGAACAACCTCCTCGCCTTTCACAACGTACACCCGCAGGTGCGCGCAGATGTACAGCGACGGCTGCAGCGTCTGCTGCATCGCCTCTACGACCACGTTGATACACTCGCGCCCGGATACGGCGAGTCTGCCCAGGATGTGTGCAGCACCATTGTGCATGATGTGGTGCACAACACAATCCACAACGTCATCCCCCTTGTGGAGCTCGCCGCGGAGGAGAAGCGCAGGGCGGCGCTCGAGCAGCGCACGCGTGACCTGGCGGCGGAGCTGCAGGAAAGTGAGCGGCGCTGCCGCGAGATGGAAGCGGCGCACGAGCGCGTCCGCCAGGCACACGAATTCATGCTGCACTGCTACTTCCGCGAGGTCCTCGTGCTGCGCTACCAGCTACAGGAGGCCGTGGCCAAATCGCGGCGCCTGCAGGGCTACGCTTCACAGGCGTCGCTTGGGAGGAAGGCGCCGCCACCGACGTCTTCGAAGCGCCCCAGCGACGCCATGGAGCCCCTTCCGTTGGCGACCGCCCACCCGCTGGCGCCGTTTTCAACAGACTTCTTCGCGGAGGAGTCCATATCATCGCCGACGGTGTATGTCGTGGCGACCACGCTCTCCCCAGGGGCATTGGTGGCGGCATCACCGCCACCCGAGAGGGCCGCAACGGCAATGCCATTACCGCCACCCCCGCTGTCGGCAGAAGGAGCAGCAGCAGAAACAGAACCGTCAACTGGGGCGAAAGCAACAGAGACACCAACGGTAACCCTGACAGATTTGATGCCATTGAAAGCGACGATGACGCCTTCAATGGTTCCAGCGGCGGCGACGGCGGACGTGCCAACAACAGTACTAAAAGTAACAGTCACGGATCCCGCGGTAGTAGCTTCACCAACGACTGGTATGACGACGCCAACGACTGTGACGGTGAAAACAGCGAAGTCCTCAGTGATGGAGGAAACCACTGAAACAACAGCACTGACGTCAATAACAGACGATGAAGACGTAAGGCTAAAAGTGATGGTCCGTCCCACGAAGGTGGCGTCGACGCAGACGACGTTCAACGTTGGAAACGAGAGCGTGGACGCTATCTTCGACTACGAGCAATACATACGACTGCTGAATGCGGGGTGGGAGGGAGAATCTTCTGGGGCTTCAGAAGGCTGTGGGCTCTCACCGGAAAAGCTGACACTAGACAAGCGCCGTAGAGAGGAAGTGAGTGCCCTTCGTTTTATGCAGCAGCAACTCATGCGCTCTCAGGAGGCCACCATAGCGTCGTTGCAGGCAAAGCTCCAGGAGGATGAGACCTTCGCCAAAGCCGCATCATGGCGAACGGCTCTCGTGCTGCGCCCCATAAAGGAGATTCTTTTGGAGGAGCTGAGCGGCATCCACAGCGGAGTGCAACGCATGCGGGCGCAGCACCTTGAGGACATGACGGTGCTGCAGCAGGCAATGAAGGTTATACAGGCCCGCATCGACTTTCTCTTGGCATTTTTCCTGACGTACTCAGAGGAGGTGGGGAATCTCGCTGTAGCGCTCTCAGCTGACACCGACGTGTCGATGAGCTGCAAGTCGCACTTGCTGTCTTCGGAGGATGACCCGTGCCAGCGGCGTGTCGTGCTGGACTACTTCGCGGATACATTACCCTTCGCGTCGTCGGTGGCGTCGGATATGCAGGACGACGACGCAGATGCCACCGAAGCGAACGGGTGGAGCTATCATCGGGAGGGTGCCTTCTGGGAGAACAACCCGGTGACGCTGCAGGCCAAGCGGGCTTTCGCCGCGCTACAGGCTGCTGTTTTCAAGGCACGCGATCGAAGAGGCCGTCGCACGCGACGCGCGACCAACGCACTGTCCACCACCTTTGTTGAAAACTCTATCGGCGGATTCTACAACGCAGAAGATGACGAGGAGGATGACGCCGTCCTTGGTGATGACGATATGGGTAGGCTCGCAGCGCTTTCACACGAGGACCGGTTGAAAGCGCTCGTGCGGCTGCGTATGCAGCGCATCGCCTACCGTGCCCGGCACCGCAACCGCCTGCGCCAGCTCGCGGAGGACGCCCGCCGCGGGCGCAGCGCGGATGAGCTGCAGCGCACACTCTATGAGGCGTGGATGCACGAGCAGCGGGTGGCCCGCATCACGCGGGCAATTAATCGGCTGCTACGCCAAATGGGCTTTTCTGCATCCACCTCCAAGGACGAGCGGGCTTTCTTCACGAAGAACCTCGCGCTTTCGCCGTACCTGTATGACCCCGCGGGGGCGCAGGCAACCGAGGACGTGGTGTATGTGCCAGTTCCGGTTCGTGCCGAACATGCTGGGGATCTGTGCGCTACGCTGGCCTCCAATCAGCCTGGCTATGTGGTATTCAATGGCGAGATTGTCCCCATCGCGACAGTGACGTACTGTAGCAGTAGTGGCCTGCCCCTCACAAAGGGGGCCGCTGCAGGCAGAGTAGGGTCGAGGGGGAAAGACCAACGGCGCGTAGCGCCGTTCCACGGCGCAGTGGTGGATTACCAACGTGGTGTGCAGTTGGGACGCCCACTCGGCGACAAGCATGGTCCGCTGTACGTTTTCTATGACCCGGACGAACATTCATTCCTTCTTGTGGAGGAAAGAGAGGCGAGGAGCCGCGTCGTCGGAAGAGTCCAGGAGCGTCAACAACCACAACCACAACAACCGCAGCAGCGGCAGAATGTGCGACTGGCGACGATCTTGATGCCCCCGCCCCTGCCAGAAGTGGGACCGTCGGAGACGCCGATGCCAACCCCGCCGCCGACTATTCCTGCCCCGGCAATGATTGCGCCGAAGGAAAGACCACCCTGTGAGGCTACATTCGCGTTAACGGAGACGACACCAACCATCTTTCCCCCCGTGCAGCAGCCAATAAAGGGGCTGCCGTCGCGTGTCGTGTCGGAGAGAGCCAAAAATCACCCCTGTCGGCTCGCCGTGATTCAGCCAAACGAAGAAGACAGAGACTTGATGCGCGTTGAGTCGCTTTCAGCGCGGCGTGATGCTGCAGGAAAGGGACCTGGAGGAGTCATGGCATTCCCGCCAACATCCTCATCGTCTACAGAGCGTTTCGTGACGGCGTTAGAGCGCCTAAAGGGGGACCAGCGGCGGCGAAAGGAGACAACGAAGGAGCGCAATACGAAATCACTGTTGGCAACGAATCGAAGGTTCTCCTCCATGCGCTTCCCGCGGATCCTGACGCCGTCACCGTCGCCCTCAGAGTAGAAGAAGAGAGAAGCGAGAAGAAGAGGCTGGGTGGATACGGGGGCATCAGAGTGAGGTCCTCCTGTTAGCACGTACCTCGTAGCAGCTCCCGCGCGCCAATGTCGCGTTGTGACACACAAAAAAAAACGTGTCTATGCTGCTCCTTTGAGTTTCGTTTCCCCTCCCCCCCTTCGTTTTACCACGCGCCTCCGTTCATGTGGCTGATGTAAATACAAAGAGCAGCGAAGCGAAAAATGAAATATGTGGTGCCCGAAGTGGCAATGTGATTTTCCTCTTTTGGCTTGTGCTGAGCTGCTCTGCGCAGGCGCGCATGCTGAATGGAACCAGGACCTTGCTAAACAGTCAACAAACATTTTCAGAAGGCAAAACGCCTCTGCGTGCGTGAAGTGTTTATACGGTTTCACACCATTGCAAGACTGTTTCCCTACACCTTACTCCTTATGTTTCTCTGTGTCTTGTTGCTCTCTGTGTGCCGGTGCTGCGTGTGGGGGGAAAGTCGTGGGAAAGGAGAGAGTAGCGTCGTTCCTGCGCCGTTATGTTCGCGGGGGGGCCGCTCACTGTTGCGAAGGCGGAGCGCGTTTGCAGACTGTATTTCTACGCCGGCTTCGTGGGCCTGCCGTGGCTCTGGTTCGCCGTGTGGCTGCTGTTCCGCAAGCACGCGCGTGCGAGCGACGCTATCGCGTGGTATACCACCGTCTCGCTGCGGCTGAGCCTTGTTGGTGGACTTCTGCTGCTGGGATGGTACGTGGCGGCGGTGCTCTTTCTGCCGACTGACAGTCCGCTCTTTGTGATTCCACCCTTCACGGGAAAGCGGCAGCATGGATTCTTCGCCAGGTTGGCGGCGTGAGGCCGCGTACATGTGTGTCTGTGTGTGTGGGTGCTCGTCTTTGTGCATGATGCACCAGAAATGAGAGCACAGTGGCGTTTTCTTGCGCGGATTGATGATATGACCCTCTCTGATGCAATGCCATTGACCACTCATTGCTTCTTGTTCTTCTCTTCGTTCTTCTTGTTGCCACTATGACCCAAAAAAAGCCTTCTCTCTCTCCTTGTATATATATATACATATATTCTTGCAGCACGCGGGCGTGGCTATACACGCACACACACACACACACACATAGAGTACTTTAGGTGGGCGCATTGCGTCTTGGCCCGCTGCAGGAAGGAAGGGAAGAGCACATACACGCGGAAAGCAAAGAAAAAAAAAAGGAAAAAAAAAAAAGAAAGTAACTATAGAAGCAAAGGGTGGGAGCCCTACTGTAAAAAAAAAAAAAGGAAACAAAGACTGATAACATCAGCAGCAAGGCAAAACATACAACGGTCTACATAAAGGAAAGAGGAGAAAGACACGCAACCACCCCAGCCTTCTCTCCGTAGCCGACTGGGAAAGCATCTGCATTCATACAGGCGCGAAGGAAGAGGCAAGGGAAGCTGAAGAAACGGTCGGGGCTTTTAAGCCTGGGCGATCAACACAGACTCTCACACACAAATATTTAACAAAAAAAAAGGAAGACAAAGAAAGGGTGGAAGTCAAAAGGGAAGAACAACTCCTTTAGGTGCTTCTCGTTCACTCTCCCCTTTTTTGGTTTGTTTACTGTATTGGTAATTCCATTGAGATCTTGCACAGCCCCGCCATACCGAGTACTGTATTTGTTTCTCGCCGTGCGTTCAACCAATGCGCCTGACAGGAAAGTCCAGTGCGATGAGCGTATCCTTCTCGCCGTACTGCTCACCGTCGACGGAGGGCGGCACGGGCGAGTCGCCAATCGACGCCAACTTCGCTCACATCCCCACCGTAGAGGACCGCTTTATTGGCATTGCGGACTACAAGGAGTTTCTGCACAACCCACTGGATGGGTACATGCACTCGGCGGCGAGTGCAACAGAGGCGCGGTACCGAAGGACGCTGGAGACGCAGATGGGACTTGGGGGCAGTGGTGGGCTCATGTTTTTCCGCGGCAGCGACCGCGCGTCCCGTCTCGTGGGACATGATGACCACGGGAGCAGCGAGCCCCTTGCTATCTGGAGCTGCACACCGAGCCGGGCCGAGGATTCAGCTGAAACGAGTGAGCACCAAGGGTCTCAGCAGCAGAAGCAGTCTATCTATATGGACAGTGTGATGGGGCCGTACGGGGTACGCGAGGAGCCTCAGACCCCGCCGTCTTCGCCGGTCCGCTCGCGCCTCGAATGCCGCTACCCGCGGGTGGCCTCTCACAACGGAAACGGATCGTCCGCTTCCTCCCCGAAGCTAATGCCTGTGATGCATGCCAAGTCCCTTGAAGGCTGTCACACACCGCTACCCATGCCGAGGGCGTTTACGGCTAGCACACCTGATGGCCGGTCACCTGGGGCAACCTGCGACGTTCACACGACCCCGGGCAGCCGCTCACTGCGTGGAGATGCTCTGTGGACATCGCCGGCCGCCACAACTGCGGGCCTTCGCACGCCTGTGCACGGCTCCAGGTGCAACGACGTCGCCGGCGGCTACAAATCGAGTCCGAAACCAGGGGGCCTCACCATGCTGATCTCCGCAGCGCCGCCGCAGCTTTGCACACCGGTTCGGCACGAGAACGACCTTCTGAGCGTGTCGGTGCGCTCCGCCCAAACCGGTAATGTCGGTGTGTCCCAAAACGCAAGCCCCGTGCCGCGGAGGAGCGCTCTGTACTCGCAGCACATGACGTCCCGCCGACCCGCTGAGACGTGCGATCGCGTCCTCAATGCAGAGGGGATCTCCCTCTGCGATGCCAAAGGACGCCCCAACTTCAGTCCGCTCTGTTGGGGTTACCTTGGTGCCGTTATTGCGCTGCATCAGGGAGTGTATCTGTGGCAGGGGCCGGACAAGGTACGTACACTCATTGACGGCGTGCAACCGCACGGTCTTGTGAGCGCTGTTGCGTCTTCACGGCATCTTACCGAAGGGGGTGATGTCTACATGGCAGTAGGCTTCATCAATGGACTTGTCGTGGTGAACAAGTACCATGTGGATGGCGGCGCTTCCACTGGGAGCAGCGACCAAGCTATAGTGAATGACTCCGTTTTCAGCCAGGCGATGCAGACGTCCTTCGTAGATCACTCATCCCACATCAGCACATTGCAGGTAATGGGGCATCACCTTTACATCGGTTGCATGGATGGAATTTTAACCGTCCGTAATCTCCGCGATAAATCAGTGGTGTGGCGTCTCACTGAGTGCCACGAGCAGATAGATTCCGTATTCGACCCATCCGACGGAACGGACTGCCAGGTGAATGTCGGGGCGCCCATTTACAAGTTGGAAGTCACTCCAGACGGACAGCACATTGCCGTTGGCACAGAAGACAGTCTCTTTCTGTACCAGGTCAACCGCTTGGGTCCGGGTAGTGGAACTAAGAGGCGTGTAATCTTTTCGGGAGCCACTAGACCCGTGCGCGCATTTTCGTGGTGGACCTTCCCGTCCTCGCCTTTGTGCGATCCTGGTGCTAACGTGCACTCCAGCCCCAACCACGCTAATTGGAGTGGCTTTTCGCAGACGATGCTTTTATATGCCGGTGATGCTGATGGGACAGTCCTCTCGGCCTACTCTGTCGGGGGCCGCTGCGAGAAGGCGACATGTCGCCTATCCGCCCCGATCCTCGGCATCATAAGCAGTGAAATATCTGACGAAATATTGGTTTCACTCGACGATTCAAACGCAGTGGAGGGAGGAGGAGGAGGAGGAGGAGGAACATCAGCAGCATCAGTAACAACATGGTCAACAGGTGGAGCGTTGCATGGGGATAATGATGGTGATAGAGGCAATGGACTCCGTGACAGTAGCGATAGTGTGTTGTATGACCTTTCCAGCGATGAAGAAGACTCACCGCATGTGCTATATGTGGACCGGCACAACCCCCCTAGTGGCGGCGGTGGTGTTGGCCTGGCGGGACTCCCAGGACAAGCATCACGCCGCTTTCTACAGTTCGTTGAAGGGCCGCGAACGCGAACGCGACCACCGCGTTTCAGCCCGCCCGGGGGCTCCACACAAGAGGTGGAGCTGCTGCAGCTGTTCCGACTGAAGGATGGGGGTAGCGTGTTGGAGAAGCAGAGTGGGTTTCTGCGGCTTCAGAGTTCCTCTGCCTATATGGCGCTGTCGCCCGACAACTCGCTGCTGTCAACGACAGGGAGCGAAAAGAAAATGCGGATATGGCGAGCCTTCAATGTGAGGGCACCGCAAAGCGTCGTCCAATGTGACTTGCGCTGAGAAGGTGTATATATATATATATATATATAGGTGAAGGTGCGCGTGTGTGGCGCGAGAACCAGGGTGGGCGTTCCCACCGTTTATTTCCTCTCCGCCACCCCCCGCCAAACGAGAGGGAGGAACAAAAAGAGGTACAATACGACGAAATGAAAGAAGAAAAGGAAAAAAAAAAATGAATCAGAAGTAAATGAAAAAAAAAAGCTGGTTGAAGCACGAAAGCAATAAGAAGTGGCCGATGATAACCACTTCTGTCAAGACAAGCACCAAAGAAGGCAAAAATGCAAAGAAAGCAAAAAAAAAAAGCAAAGGGGGAATTATTGTCTACATAGACACCTGCAGCGTAGACCGCCTTGTATGATCTGCTGAGAGGGTGTGTTTGGCCGACGGTGCGTTGTTTCCTCGCCGTCCGGTGGAAAAAGGGGCGAGGTGCACACGCGGTGACTTATGGGTAAGATTTTTTTTTGGCTTGCTGTTTTTTTTCTTTTTTTTTTT